TATATTCTGGTTAGAGACAGTTCTGTGAAGGGAGTAGTACCAGATCATCAGTTTCTTGGCAATTTCTCACATGGAATAGCCTTCATTTCTCAGAACAAGAATAGACTGACGAGTTTCAGAAGAAATGTATTTGTTTCTGGCAATTTTGAGCCTGTAATCGAACCCACAATTGCTGATGCTCCAGATACTCAACTAGTCTCAAGAAGGCCAGTTTTATTGATTCTTTAAATCAGCACAACAGTTTTCAGTTGTGCTAACATAATTGCAAAAGGGTTTTCTAATGATCAATTAGCCTTTTAAAATGATAAACTTGGATTAGCAAACACAACGTGCCATTGGAACACAGGACTGATGGTTGCTGATAATGGGCCTCTGTACACCTATGTAGATTTTCCATAAAAAATCTGCCGTTTCCAGCTACAATAGCCATTTACAACATTAACAATGTCTACACTGTATTTCTGATCAATTTGATGTTATTTTAATGGACCAAAAAATTGCTTTTCTTTCGAAAACAATACAATTTTTAAGTGACCCCAAACCTTTGAACAGTAGTTTATATTAATGTCACCATTTAGACATGCAAGACCAATAATTGAATATAGAACATAGTGTTATATACAGTCAGGGCTTACCCCAAACAAACACCTCTTAATTGTCCTGGCATTCAGACCAAAGAACACAAAAAGATGGAGACAACATATCCAAATAAGGACTTCCTGACAGAAAACTACCCTGTGACGTCAACATGGTATTCACTAGGCACGAAACGGAAGAAAATATGACGAAACGGTTACTGTAGGTACTATCTGAACTCTATCCAATAAGAAACACTCATTTTAGTTTTCTGTTGCACAGCGGTTTGCAACATTTTTCTACTATGAATTCAACCCATGTTTGTCAAGCTAAACAATGGCATGGTACATGTAATAGGGACTTCCTGACTAAAAACTAAACCCTGTGACGTCTTGTCTAGCACGAGATATACAGTAGGCTTTGAAATTATTGACACCCTTGATAAATATTAGCAAAAATGACTATATTATTTCATATACAATTTTATAGGCCTCCTGTAGCTCAGTTGGTAGAGCATGGCGCTTGCAACGCCAGGGTTGTGGGTTTGATTCCCACGGGGGGCCAGTATGAAGAATGTATGGACTCACTAACTGTAAAATGACTAAAATGTTTTTTTTAAAAAAATACTAATACAATTGCTCAGAGAAAGAGATTTTAACAAGTAAACATTTATTTTTTTTAAGGTAGGGGTAAAAATGATTTTCAATACCTCACCCTGCGAGGATAACGGCACTGAGCCTTTTTCTAAAATGTTTTATTAGTAGGAGAGCACATTGGGAGGGATCCTAGACCATTCCTCCATAAAGAATCCTTCCAGATCATTGATATCCTTTGTCTGCGCTTATGGACTTACATTTACATTTACATTTTCATAATTTAGCAGACGCTCTTATCCAGAGCGACTTACAAATTGGTGCATTCACCTTATGATAGCCAGTGGGACAACCACTTAAACATTTTTTTTTTGGGGGGGGGTGGGGTAAGGGGCGGTAGAAGGATTACTTTATCCTATCCATTTTACATTACATTTACGTCATTTAGCAGACGCTCTTATCCAGAGCGACTTACAGTTAGTGCATACATTATTCTTTTTTATTTTCATACTGGCCCCCCGTGGGAATCAAACCCACAACCCTGGCGTTGCAAACGCCATGCTCTACCAACTGAGCTACCTCCCTATTACATGTACCATGTCATTGTTTAACTTGACTATCCCAGGTATTCCTTAAAGAGGTGGGGTTTCAAGTGTCTCCGGAAGGTGGTGAGTGACTCCGCTGTCCTAGCGTCGTGAGGGAGCTTGTTCCACCATTGGGGTGCCAGAGCAGCGAACAGTTTTGACTGGGCTGAGCGGGAACTGTGCTTCCGCAGAGGTAGGGGGGCCAGCAGGCCTGAGGTGGATGAACGCAATGCCCTCGTTTGGGTGTAGGGACTGATCAGAGCCTGAAGGTACGGAGGTGCCGTTCCCCTCACAGCTAGGCTGCACCCCTCAAGGCAAGCACCATGGTCTTGTAGCAGATGCAAGCTTCAACTGGAAGCCAGTGGAGTGTGCGGAGGAGCGGGGTGACGTGAGAGAACTTGGGAAGGTTGAACACCAGACGGGCTGCGGCATTCTGGATGAGTTGTAGGGGTTTAATGGCACAGGCAGGGAGCCCAGCCAACAGCGAGTTGCAGTAATCCAGACGGGAGATAACAAGTGCCTGGATTAGGACCTGTGCCCCTTCCTGTGTAAGGCAGGGTTGTACTCTGCGAATGATGTAGAGCATGAACCTACAGGATCGGGTCACCGCCTTGATGTTAGCGGAGAACGACAGGGTGTTGTCCAGGGTCACGCCAAGGCTCTTTGCACTCTGGGAGGAGGACACAACGGAGTTGTCAACCGTGATGGCGAGATCATGGAACGGGCAGTCCTTCCCCGGGAGGAAGAGCAGCTCCGTCTGGCCGAGGTTCAGCTTGAGGTGGTGATCCGTCATCCACACTGATATGTCTGCCAGACATGCAGAGATGCGATTCGCCACCTGGTTATCAGAAGGGGGAAAGGAGAAGATTAATTGTGTGTCGTCTGCGTAGCAATGATAGGAGAGGCCATGTGAGGATATGACAGAGCCAAGTGACTTGGTGTATAGCGAGAATAGGAGAGGGCCTAGAACTGATCCCTGGGGGACACCAGTGGTGAGAGCACGTGGTGCGGAGACAGATTCTCGCCACGCCACCTGGTAGGAGCGACGTGTCAGGTAGGACGCAATCCAAGAGTGAGCCGCGCCGGAGATGCCCAACTCGGAGAGGGTGGAGAGGAGGATCTGATGGTTCACAGTATCAAAGGCAGCAGATAGGTCTAGAAGGACGAGAGCAGAGGAGAGAGAGTTAGCTTTAGCAGTGCGGAGAGCCTCCGTGACACAGAGAAGAGCAGTCTCAGTTGAATGACCAGTCTTGAAACCTGACTGGTTTGGATCAAGAAGGTAATTCTGAGAGAGATAGCAAGAGAGCTGGCTAAAGACGGCACGCTCAAGAGTTTTGGAGAGAAAAGAAAGAAGGGATACTGGTCTGTAGTTGTTGACATCGGAGGGATCGAGTGTAGGTTTTTTGAGAAGGGGTGCAACTCTCGCTCTCTTGAAGACGGAAGGGACATAGCCAGCGGTCAAGGATGAGTTGATGACCGAGGTGAGGAAACCCGTGCAAAACCTGTGGTTTAAATTGAAGACAGCAGCCCATAAACGCAGATGAAGGATATCAAGGATCTGGAAGGATTCTGTATGGACTTTCCCTCTTCAATTCAAAAAACAGATTTTTAATGGGTTTCAAGTCCGGAGACTGAGATGGCCATTGCCAAATGTTGATTTTGTGGCCAATTAACCATTTCTTTGTAGGTTTTAATGTGAGCTTGGAGTTATTGTCTTGCTGGAAGATCTACTTGTGACCAAGTTTCAGCCTCCTAGCAGAGGCAACCAGGTTTTTGGCTAAAATGTCCTGGTACTGGGTAAAGTTCATGATGCCGTTGACCTTAACAAGGGCCCCATGACCAGGGGAAGCAAAATAAGATGCACCACCGTATTTTATAGTAGATATTGGGCTCTTTTTTGCTTATGTATTCTAATTTCGACGCCAAACCCACAACTGGTTTACGTGGCCAAAGAGCTCTATTTTCATGTCATCTGATCAGAGCATTGGTTCCAATCTAACAACCAATACTGTTTAAAAAACTCCAGGTGTTGGCATGAAAATATAGCTTTTTGGCCACGCAAACCAGTGGTGGGAAATGATCATGCATAAGCAGAAAATAACCCCATACCTAATGTAAAATGTTATGGGCACAATGTTACTTCCACTCGTCCTGGGATCCTTGTTAAGGTCAACACTCAATAGCATCATGAACTTTACCCAGTACCCAGGACATTTTAGTCAAAAACCTGGTTGCCTCTGCCAGGAGGCTGAAACTTGGCCTAAGATGGATCTTCCAACAAGACATTAACCCCAAGCACACATCAATTGGCCAAATAATCTACATTTTGCAATGGCCAACTCAGTCTCCGGACTTGAAACCCGTGCAAAACCTGTGGTTTGAATTGAAGACTGCAGTCCATAAACGCAGATGAAGGATATCAAGGATCTGTAAGGATTCTGTATGGAGGAATGGTCTAAGATCTCTCCTAATGTGTTCTCCAATCTCATAAAACATTTGAGAAAAAGGCTCAGTGCCATTATCCTCATAGGGTGAGGTATTGAAAGGTGTTGAAAACAGGGGTGTCAATAATTTGTACCCCTACCTTTTTGAGAAGAAATGTATTATTTGTTAAACATAATCTCTTTCTCTGAGCAATTATATTAGTATAAAATAATATAATTTCCCAATTTTTCTTAGCATTCAATATAGCTTAGTATTTTATTTATTTATTTTATACAGTTATTTTTGCTCATCTTTATCAACGGTGTCAATAATTGCGGAGCACACTGTATATCTCGTGCCAGACAAGACGTCACAGGGGTTCGATTTTAGTCAGAAGTCCCTATTACATGTACCATGTCATTGTTTAACTTGACAAACATGGGTCGTATTCATAGGGCTCATAGTAGCAAAATGTTGCAAACCGCTGTGCAACAGAAAACTAAAATGAGTGTTTCTTATTGGATAGAGTTCAGAAGTTCAGATAGTACCTAACAGTTTCGTCATATTTTCTTCAGTTTCGTGCCTAGTGAATACCATGTTGACGTCACTGGGTAGTTTTCTGTCAGGAAGTCCTTATTTGGATATGTTGTCTCTATCTTTTTATGTTCTTTGGTCTGAATTCCAGGACAATTAAGAGATGTTTGTTTGGGGTAAGCCCTGACTGTATACTGTACTACTGTATGACTCATCACTGTACACAACACACACGCATGCACGCACACAGACTTGGGGTAAGCCCTGACCATAAACTGTACTGAATGAGTCACCACCACTTAGGGAAATACAATGAGCAGTTCCTCTTGCTTATGGCTCTAAGTGTAGCAGGCTGCAGGGAGAGGGTTTGTGGCCTCAGTGTAGCAGGCTGCATGGAGAGGGTTTGTGGCCTCAGTGTAGCAGGCTGCAAGGAGAGGGATTGTGGCCTCAGTGTAGCAGGCTGCAGGGAGAAGGTCTGTGGCCTCAGTGTAGCAGGCTGCAAGGAGTAGGTTTGTGGCCTCAGTGTAGCAGGATGCAGGGAAAGGGTTTGTGGCCTCAGTGTAGCAGGCTGCAAGGAGAAGGTTTGTGGCCTCAGTGTAGCAGGCTGCAAGGAGAGGGTTTGTGGCCTCAGTGTAGCAGGTTGCAGGGAGAGAGTTTGTGGCCTCAGTGTAGCAGGTTGCAGGGAGAGGGTTTGTGGCCTCAGTGTAGCAGGCTGCATGGAGAGGGTTTGTGGCCTCAGTGTAGCAGGCTGCATGGAGAGGATTTGTGGCCTTAGTGTAGCAGGCTGCAAGGAGTGGGTTTGTGGCCTCAGTGTAGCAGGCTGCAGGGAGAAGGTTTGTGGCCTCAGTGTAGCAGGTTGCAGGGAGAGGGTTTGTGGCCTCAGTGTAGCAGGCTGCAAGGAGAAGTTTTGTGGCCTCAGTGTAGCAGGCTGCAAGGAGAAGGTTTGTGGCCTCAGTGTAGCAGGCTGCAAGGAGAAGGTTTGTGGCCTCAGTGTAGCAGGCTGCAGGGAGAGGGTTTGTGGCCTCAGTGTAGCAGGCTGCAGGGAGAAGGTTTGTGGCCTCAGTGTAGCAGGTTGCAGGGAGAGGGTTTGTGGCCTCAGTGTAGCAGGCTGCATGGAGAGGGTGTGTGGCCTCAGTGTAGCAGGCTGCATGGAGAGGGTTTGTGGCCTCAGTGTAGCAGGCTGCAGGGAGAAGGTTTGTGGCCTCAGTGTAGCAGGCTGCAAGGAGAAGGTTTGTGGCCTCAGTGTAGCAGGCTGCAAGGAGAGGGTTTGTGGCCTCAGTGTAGCAGGTTGCAGGGAGAGGGTTTGTGGCCTCAGTGTAGCAGGTTGCAGGGAGAGGGTTTGTGGCCTCAGTGTAGCAGGCTGCATGGAGAGGGTTTGTGGCCTCAGTGTAGCAGGCTGCATGGAGAGGATTTGTGGCCTTAGTGTAGCAGGCTGCAAGGAGTGGGTTTGTGGCCTCAGTGTAGCAGGCTGCAGGGAGAAGGTTTGTGGCCTCAGTGTAGCAGGTTGCAGGGAGAGGGTTTGTGGCCTCAGTGTAGCAGGCTGCAAGGAGAAGGTTTGTGGCCTCAGTGTAGCAGGCTGCAAGGAGAAGGTGTGTGGCCTCAGTGTAGCAGGCTGCATGGAGAGGGTTTGTGGCCTCAGTGTAGCAGGCTGCAGGGAGAAGGTTTGTGGCCTCAGTGTAGCAGGCTGCAAGGAGAAGGTTTGTGGCCTCAGTGTAGCAGGTTGCAAGGAGAGGGATTGTGGCCTCAGTGTAGCAGGTTGCAGGGAGAGGGTTTGTGGCCTCAGTGTAGCAGGTTGCAGGGAGAGGGTTTGTGGCCTCAGTGTAGCAGGCTGCATGGAGAGGGTTTGTGGCCTCCGTGTAGCAGGCTGCAAGGAGAGGGTTTGTGGCCTCAGTGTAGCAGGCTGCAAGGAGGTTTGTGGCCTCAGTGTAGCAGGCTGCAGGGAGAAGGTTTGTGGCCTCAGTGTAGCAGGTTGCAGGGAGAGGGTTTGTGGCCTCAGTGTAGCAGGCTGCAAGGAGAGGGATTGTGGCCTCAGTGTAGCAGGCTGCAAGGAGAGGGTTTGTGGCCTCAGTGTAGCAGGCTGCAAGGAGAGGGTTTGTGGCCTCAGTGTAGCAGGTTGCAGGGAGAGGGTTTGTGGCCTCAGTGTAGCAGGCTGCAAGGAGAGGGATTCCTTGTTCCTACTCACGAGAGGCTCAGTCTAGTCCAGGGGAAGAAATAAATGCAACAGAATAATAACAAATCAGGCTTTTTCAAATGTCAAACTAAATCTGATCGAGAGAATAATATGAAAAACATCCTATTAATAACTCTAGAAGAATGATTCATGTTTAAGTTCCATGTTAACGTAGTGTAAATGTCAAATTCCTCGAGGTCTGGGGTGAATTGGGGTGCTCCATTTTACAGTGATACGTCATCATCAACATCAATGGATAGCCATAAGCAGTAACCACTGCACATTTTCCTTTACGTTTCAGGGCTCAAAGAAAGACAACAACAAATTATCTGGTGACAAAATATAATTGATGAAATTAGACTACTCATCTTTGAAATTTGAAGATCTTTCTTACGATCTTTACCTTTTTTTATCTGGGAAAATGCAGCCATAGTACAGTACATCATTCAAAAGAGGGTCTGAAATACAGTATTAGATAGTTCTTGACAGGGCCATATCTCTTTATATGGCTCTGATTCTTGATAAGGTCATTTAAGGTATCCTAGCAACCTGACACAATGAAAGAATTGATGGAGTGAACACAAATGTCATTTTTTAGCCTTTATTGTCCATTAGCCAAGTGGAATTATGCATAAATTACGTATATACACAGTAGACCTTCAGAATAGACTCGAAGCCACTAAAGCAAACTGCTAAATGTCAATTTCTTCTTCCAGTATAAACACAGAGATGTGCCTGCCCTTGCAGATTATAACAAACCCATCTGTAACAAATGTACAAATTGATCTTGATATAGATATAAATGAATTAGAAAAAAGGCAGCTTGAAGTGTTTGGCTATCAGGGTATAAACATTTGATAGATACATTACTGTAAATACAACAATATGTTCAGGTATTGGTATACTTCTCTCTAAAAAGACTAAACATATCCCAGATCTAGTACTCTGAGATACACCTGTGGCACATGGACAGTCTGGTAACCACAGAAACCAGGTGGGTCATCTCAAAGGGTCAGGGGGGCGGGGCAACCAAACATATGACATCATCAGAAGGGGACAGCAGTCTCAGATGATTGACAACATTAGGTGTTCACACTGACTGACATGCTCAGGTACAGGAGTGTTTCTTACATTCAAAAGTGCCAACATCATCACTGTACACGAAACACACAACTACTCAAATACTTAAACATAACATTAAAGTTAATTCTACACAATATGTATTTCAGTGAAAACAGTGAGAGAAAGCTTTCAATTCAAACCTCTATCTGCGTCCTACAAATTGATGTTGTGGAGTTGAGCGAAAATCTAACCAACACTTGTTTGTGAAGACACTTATAAAAAGTTTGGCTTTAAAACACATTAAGGCCTTGAAGTAAAAACATTTGTTACAGACAAAAGTGTTGTGGGACAAATCACTATTCAGCATGATACACTGAGTGTACAAAATATTGGGAACACCCCCTTTTGCCCTCAGAACAGCCTCAATTCGTTGGTGCATGGACTCTACAAGGTGTTGAAAGCGTTCCACAGGGATGCTGTCCTATGCTTCCTACAGTTGTGTCAAGTTGTCTGGATGTCCTTTGGGTGGTGGATCATTCTTGATACACACAGGAAACTGTTGAGTGTGAAAAACCCAGCAGCGTTGCAGTTCTTGACACAAATCGGTGCGCCTGGTACCTACTACCATACCCAGTTCAAAGGCACTTAAATATTTTGTCTTGCCCATTCACCTCTGAATGGCACACATTCACAATCCATGTCTCAATTTTCTCAAGGCTTTAAAATCATTCTTTAACCTGTCTCCTCTCCTTCATCTACACTGATTGAAGTGGATTTAACAGGTGACATCAATAAGGGATCATAGCTTTCACCTAGATTCACTTGGTCAGTCTATGTCATGGAAAGAGCAGGTGTTTCTAATGTTTTGTGCACTCAGTGTATATTTGTATAGAAAACATAGTGTTTTTATCTCTCACCTTTAGTTATTTTATTTGTTAAGCACTTTGAAATGCATTCTTTGTAAGAAATGTGCTATATAAATAAAGTTTGATTGAAATTCCAGTTATTCTAAATGCCACGCAAACGTGTTCACATACTACAGACAGTCTAGTAGCAATGTGCAACTATCAGTTATTGAATGGACAATAATAATTATGAGTGAATAACAATAATTATAATAACACATTACAGATAGTGGCAAACTGATGTTCTGTATGTCTTAAAAATAGGGATATGTATTTTGAGGGAGGCAATGCATTTCCAACATGAAATGTCATTTTTCAGGGAGTCCACTAGGTCTCTACAGCTTGAAATGTAATTTTTCAGGGAGTCCACTAGGTCTCTACAGCTTGAAATGTCCTTTTTCAGGGAGTCCACTAGGTCTCTACAGCTTGAAATGTCATTTTTCAGGGAGTCCACTAGGTCTCTACAGCTTGAAATGTCCTTTTTCAGGGAGTCCACTAGGTCTCTACAGCTTGAAATGTCCTTTTTCAGGGATTCCACTAGGTCTCTACAGCTTGAAATGTCCTTTTTCAGGGAGTCCACTAGGTCTCTACAGCTTGAAAGCTGTAGTAGTCTTTTCCTCCTCTTACCATGAAAGCCCTGGAGGCCCATAGATTCTCGGTGGCATGTTCTATTACTCCTCTGGGATCAGGTTCCACCATTGTGGTTTGCCATTCCATGGCCTTTGTAGCTGTGATGTAGCTCCTGTGGGGTCCGACTGTAGACCCATGTGGGGTTTAAAGTTCTTATGGTTTAACAGGACCTGTGGGGTTTGTAGTTCTTGTGGCTCAGCACGTCCTGTGAGATCTGTGGGATTTGTAGTCTCTGTAGCTCAGCAGGTCTTGTGGGACCTGTTGGTTTTGTAGTACCAGTAGATGTGCAGGACCTATGGGGATTGTAGTTCATGTACTCAGCAGGTCCTATGGGATTTATAGTTCCCTGTAGATGTGCAGGTCATGTGGAGTCTGTAGTTCCTGTGGAATTAGTAGTTCCTAGTAGATGTGCACATCATGTGGAGTCTGTAGTTCCTGTGGGATTAGTAGTTCCTAGTAGATGTGCACGTTCCGGCTCATATCCTGCCTGTGTCTTGGTCCTTGTCCTCCAGCAGCTCAATAAGCTGAGTGAAGCTCTGCTTCACGGCATCTATGTTGTCCACTGAGCTGCCCTCTAGAATCCAGCTCTTCCCTCGGGCCAGGGGCTCCAGCTCAAAATACTTCTTTATCTAACAGAGAAACAGACAGAGAAGGAGAGAGACAGAGTTTTAACACCATCATTTCAAGTCACATATCAACAAGACAGAGTGAGAGAGAGATAGGGGGAGAGACAGAAACCAACAGAGAGAGGGGGGGGGGGGGGGGGGGGGGGGAGAGAAACCAACAGAGAGAGAGCGAGCGAGAGAGAGAGAGAGATTGAGAGCGAGAGAGAGAGATTGAGAGCTCAGCAGTTTGGACACTTTGAAAAACACAACAGTGAATAAATATCTGTAACGTTATCTCATTTGGTATTTCCTTCTTGATGCGTGGGTGTACGGCATAGTATAAGATAACTGATTTTGTCTAAATAGTTTTCATTCCTATGTAATTACACCAATATCTGCCAACACTTGCATTCCATCTAACAAGAGCCAAGTGGAGACCACAAACTAGGCCAAAGTTGTACAAAGAGTGTCTAAAGAAATGAAGCAATACAACTACGTCCAACCATGGAAGCAGGTCCCATGTTGGAAGTCTGCATGAGAGCACAACAATACCAGTCAATCCTGAATCAAATGGGAGAAAGGTTACCCTTGTGATTTCTACGAACTCCTAGTTGAGCTTTAGTACACACAATTTTGAAAACAAGAACAGTGTCCAGCTATATCAAAATGTTGAAAAAGACAAAAACACTGCCACAATTCTCTCACTATAAAAACCTCCAACTTCTGCTAACACTGACTCACATTGATAGGTGGTCAAGCCATCATAGCAGACAGTTTCTGTGAAGATTTACTACTTGGTACCAGGCATCCCAGTAATATATGGGAGCCACACAGGACCACTTATATATGGGCCAGCAGGCCTAAGGCCATAGCGGTCAGTCTCTGTGGTGGTTTCCTACCGGGGGGGATGAGGCGAAGCCAGCCAGGCCATAACCATATAAATAGAATGAGGGGCTTTTCCATTCTACTAGTTCTATTTCTAGAGCCATAAGTAGGGCATCAGACAGTTTCAGTGAGGGTTTACTACCAGGGTGATGTAAGGCCATGCTGGTCTCCTGGCCATCAGACAGCGTGGTGACAGAATGCTACTTGTTGCCCTCTCCGGGTAATAATGATCTGAGAGAGCAGAGTGGTGTCTGGAGAACCTTGACCTTTGACCCCACACCGGCCAAGAATAAATACCTGGCAAAGCCCCCCGAGTGTCAGGTCAGGACTCAGAGGAGTAATCTTTCACATTCGGAATACTACTGGTCTGGATAGTGGATGCTATAGCAGGGTCGTGGTATGTAGGGCAAGAAAACACTTAGAAACGGAGTGAAACGAGGAGGTACTAAATGCTTGTTTTAATTTTTTCATGGCAAAATGTTTTGCTACGGTGTGCACTAAAGAACATGACTCAGCACTTGGATAAATGGAATAGGAAATGAGGTCAAATAAATAAAACAAACCAATTTGAGTAAACAGAGTCTTAACAGTTAACTTTTCCAACAGATTCTGTCCATCTGTGTTTAAAGAGGAGAGTCCAGTGTTTGGCTGTGTGTGCCTGTGTGTCTGTCAGTGCCAGTCAGTGGGGACAACATCCTCTTCTCTGTGCAGACTGAGGAGGGGGGAGATATCATGTTCAAACCCATTTAGAGAATAGGACTAGGGAGGATATCATAGGATACCCTAGGACACCACACCGCACTGATGGCCAAACCGACAGGAACAAGAGAGACTAGAATCTGCACTGACAGGCTGTAAAAAGCTGGAGCTGCCCTTGCCTTTTTCTTTCAGAGCAGAAAGAAAGAGAATAAATAAATAATCAAACAAAACATCCTTTGAGCCAAAGCTCCCATAGCATGCCAAGAATGCTGATTAAGATTTCCCTGTCTGGGACTTCATCGCTCGCTGCTATGAAATTACCAATCCCATCCTCCAAGAGAGAGAGTAGGAGAGAAGAGAGGAGAGAGCGGCGAGAGAGAGAGAGAGGAGAGAGAGGCACGAGAGAGGAGAGCGGAGAAGAGGTGAGAGCTGAGAGGCGAGGAGAAGAGAGAGGCCAGAGAGAGAGGCATAGAGAGAGAGAGAGAGGGCAGAGAGAGGGGCACATCGCACATAGAGAGCTAGGCAGAGAGGAAGACAGAGGAGAGAGAGAGAGAGAGAGAGAGAGAGGAGAGAGACGGAAGAGGCGAGAGCGAGAGGCCTCTCATCACATTTTAGAGAGAGAGAGGATTAAGGAGAGGAAGATGCACTGAGAGAGAGAGACGGGCCAGGAAGAGAGAGAGAGGCATAGAGAGAAGAGAGAGAAGGCGAGAGGGATGAGGGAGAGAGAGAGAGGCAGAGAGTGAGAGAGAGAGGCAGGAGAGAGAGAGGAGAGGGAAGAGAGAGAGAGAGAGCGAGAGATGGCAGAGAGAGAGCGAGAGACCTGAGAGGACAGATGCGAGAGAGAGGAGAGAGGCAGGAGTGATGATGGAGGAGACGAGAGGAGGAGGAGAGGATCATAGAGAATGAGAGATATAATAGGAGAGAAGAGAGAGGCATAAATAGAGAGAGAGGAGAGAGGCAGCCAGGAGGGAGAGAGAGGAGGAGAGGGAGAGGCAAGAGAGCGGCAGAGAGAGAGGCAGGAGAGAAGAGAGAGGCAGATGAGGAGAGAGATGAGAGGGAGGAGGTAGAGGGGGGAAGACGAGGAGAGAGAGGCCAGAGACGAGCAGGAGAGGAGAGGAGACGATGAGAGCAGACGACAGAGAGGAGAGAGAGAGAAAGGGAGAAGAGGGCGAGGAGAGAGGGCCTGGAGATGCCAGAGAGGAGAGAGCGAGGGCGAGAGAGGCAGAGAGAGAGAGAGAGCAGGAGACAAGGCACCGCACCGCCGGGCTAATCAACCGAGAGCGAGAGAGACGCGGGCAATTCGCAGGACCGAGAGAGCAGACCGCGAAGAGAGGGCAAGCAGAGACGAGAGTCAAGAAGAGAGAGTAATCGACGACGCCCCGAGCGATGACGCGAGACGAGACCAAAGCCAAAGAGACCTGAGAGCATGAAGACCAGCGCATCCACGCAGCTAGAGAGACGACCTGCTCGATGAGAGCAGAAGACGAGACCCCGCAGAGAAGAGGAGAGAGAGAGGCCTTGAGAGGAAGACCCGACTGACGGAACGGACCGACGGAGACGTCCCCATGCCGCTCAAGGAAAACGAGTAGAGCAGCAGCAGCCGAACGAAGCAGATCAGGCAATAGAGAGAGACGACGAGAGCGAACGCGCAAGACGAGCATAAGAGGGAGAGGAGGGACCGACACTTCAAAGAACGCCCCGACCGAGGAGGATGAGAACTGCAGCTTCCCGACGCGAGCGACAGACGAGAGGGAGAGAGGAGAAGACGAGAGGACAGCGAAGACGAGCAGAGCAGGACGACGGAACGAGCATTGCAGCACGGGACATCATCGAGCGCAGAGAGGAGAGCAGACCAGCCAGTCCCAACAGAGAAGAGAATGGACACTTTAAAAGAGAGAACGAAGCAGCCAAGAGAGCAAAAGATACGAGAGAGACCAGTGAGAGAAGAGAGCGATGGAGAGTACGATGACGATCCTACAGAGACCGAAGCAGATCGAGGAGAGATTCGGAACCATGACAGAGCGGAGGGGGGCCCTGACGATCGAGAGAGAACCCGGTAGTCAGAGAGGCGGACACGAGAGAGGACGGCAGCAAGAGTAGAGAAAGGAGAGAGAGAGAGAGAGGCAGAAAGAGAGAGAGAGGAGGAGAGGCAGAGACGAGGAAGGAGGAAAGAGATAGACAGAGAGAGACGAGAAGAGAGCCTAGAGAAGAGCAGAGAGGCAGAGAAGGACGAAGGAGGGAGACAGAGGTAAGAGAGAAGGAGCGGCAGAGGGAGAGAGAGAGGAGGCGAGAGAGAGGAGAGCGAGGACTGACGGTGGGAGGGAAGACGGAGCAGCTGAGATGACGAAAGAGACACCCTAGCGCAGGAATAGACATCGAGAGAGAAGAGAGACCTCGAGACGAGCATGGGAGCAAGAGAGGAAGAGTGAGAAGAGAGACCTCGGAGAGAGAGAGAGAGAGATAGAAGGAGAGAGAGAGGGGGAGAGAGAAGAGGGAGGAGAGAGAGAGAGAGAGAGACGACCCGAGGAGGGAAGAGAGAGCACGAGAGAGAAGAGGGGGAGGAGAGAGCGGAGAGAGGGAGGAGAGAGAGCGGAGAGAGGAGAGGAGAGAGGCAGAGAGAGAGAGGAGAGAGAGAGAGAGAGATAGCAGGAACAGGCTTGGAAGGCACCACAGCTTTTGTCTATTGTTTTCCTTTTTGTGTGTGTACTCTGTTTGTGTGTGTGTGTGGTGTGTAACAGTGGGATGAATGTTGATGAAATTAAACATGGAGAAAGCAACAAGTCTATGAAGAAGGAGAGGTTAGAGGTTCGTGGCTAGCCTGGCTAGACTGATACAGTACAACAATCCACTGTCTTGTGGAAGAGGCTGACACAGCAGAAA